CATCGGTTCGCCATACGTGGATCCTCGCCTTCGGTTTCGCCCTCGGGAGTCTGCTGATTTTTTGCTGCGCTTGGATCAGGCTGGCATGCTAGAGTGGGAGGTCGCCGAACGTCAGGCGCCCTACTCCACAGGCTTCTTCTTCTTCGTCGAAAAATCCAATGGGGTCAACCTTCGGCTCGTCTTCGACACGCGGGTTGCCAACATGTCCTTCTCTGCCCCCCCTTCTACGAGATTGCCGACTCCGTCGGCATGGAGTGCACTCGAGGCTTCGGATGACTTCTACGTGGCGCAGGGTGACATCCAGTGCGCATTCTATCACATGAAGTTGCCGCCCCAGCTGCACAGATATTTCTCTCTGCCAGTGGCCCCGAATCGGTACTTGGGTTTCAAGGCGATCAATGGACTGAAGCTCCCCACGAAGGCCTTCTTACAACCGTTTGTGTCTGTGATGCCGATGGGGTGGTCGTGGGCTCTCCACTTTTGCCAGTCAGCCTTAACCACAGCCATACGCGACTCTGGGATCGACGATGATGCGATGCTGGTAGACGGTTCAGCACCTCGTCCTCTGCGAGACCATGGCGACATCATCGCGGCTGGCTACGTGGATAACTTCGCCACCGTCTCACTCAGTCCAGAAGTTGCCACCGCTTCGTGCCAGGCCATTCGAGACGTGCTGGTTGCTAGGGGCTTACCTGTAGAAGAGTTCGCCCCCGCGGCGCAGCGCGTCACCTTCACTGGCCTCGACATCCTGGGCGACGTCGGCGCCATCAGGTGCAAGGTGGACCGGTTGTCTCGGTTGCGCCAGGCCCTACTTGGGCTACTCAGACGTGGCTTCGCATCTCCGCTTGCGTTGTCCGCCGTGGTCGGGCACTGCACCTGGGGGATGATCACCAACAGGCCCATGCTCTCCATCTTCCACGCAGTCTACCGCTTCATGGGTCAGGACTCGCGTCGGGCTTTGCCGCTGTGGCCGTCAGTCGTCTCTGAGCTCCGTGCCGCTGCTTCCCTCATCCCGTTGTGGTGGGCTGACGCCAGGGCAGAGTGGGCGGCCACCACCTTTTGCAGCGACGCCTCTCCATACGGCATTGGCGTGTGTCGCAAGTTCGTGGAACAAGAGGTCGCTGCTGCCGCAGGTCGACTGTCTGAGAAATGGCGCTACCGCTTCTCCGATGCCGTGCACGCCCGCGCCCGCGCTCTGGGAGTCGACCCGAACGTCGTGTTGGAAGCTGCCGTGAGCAAAAGAGGCCTCAAAGACTGCGAGCAGTGCCCGAGGCCTCCCGAGGCCCAAAGCAAGCCCTCGCCCACCGCACCATCATCACCTCGAGGGCTCGACGAGATTTCGCTGGACGGCTTCGACGAGGTTCCCGACTCGATCACGGCTTCCGACGGCTGGTCTACGATATATAGCGCACGGCATTCGAGGTTCGGTTTGGACATCATGCGATACGAGGCGGAGGCTCTCGGATTTGCGATGCGACACTCGTCTCGGTCTGGACGGCTTCGACATCATCGCATCCTGTTCACCGTCGACAATTTGGCTCTAGCCCTTGCTGCTGGCAAGGGACGTTCTGGTGCCCGAGGGCTTCGCGATCCACTACGACGCCTCTGTGCTCTGTCCGCAGCTTCCGGCATTCGCCACGCTGTGCGATGGATCCCTAGCGAGAGCAATGCCGCAGACTCGCCGTCGAGGACAGGTTTCTTTGTCGGGCCGACCTTCGAGGAGCACCAAGCGGCTGCACCCCGAGTTTCGGCGCCAGCGAGCCACGACCGTGACGGAGCAGAGGACCAAGACGCATCCAGGACCACAACGGCTCGGGCGGGGTGCGCTCTCGGTCCTCGAGTCAGCTGCCGTGTCGGACACAACCATGGCCAACTACTGGGGCGCCGCCAAGAAGTTCGAGGAGTGGTGCCGCTGGACGTCCCAGACCTTCACCACGGCGGCGGAGGTCGATGTCATCCTAGTTCCCTACTTCGTGAACCTCTTTCTGGACGGCTTCGACAGTGCTACGGGCCGAGTCCTGCTCGCCTCCTTGAAGCACTACCTGCCTTCGATCCTGGTGGGCAGGACGCCGTGCCCGCGTGCAGCTCGCGCCTTGACAGGCTGGCGGAAGCTCGTGCCCCCGCAGATGCGACTACCCCTTCCACGGGCGGCGATGGCCTCCATCGTGGGCGTCCTCATCTCGTGGAAGCTCTTCGGCATGGCAGTGTTCATCAGGCTGATGTTCGACACCTACCTGAGGCCCAGCGAGGCCTATCGGCTAACAGCGGGCAGCGTTATTCGACCAAGACCCGATGCCGCCCGCGGGTGCGGACATTGGGCCCTGATCGTCAACGACGCCTGCCTCGATCGTCCTGGGAAGACAGGGGAGATGGACGAGAGCGTGATCGTCGACAACCCGACGCTCTGGCCCCTTCTCGACGCGCTGGTGCTGGGCAAGAAGACGAGCGACGGCCTCTGGACCTTCGCCCCCGACGAGGTGCGGGGCATGTTCCGTCGTGCTGCCGCTGCGCTCGGGTTGGAAGCCGAGATGACGCTCTACTCCCTTCGGCATGGGGGTGCGTCCGACGACCTCCTGTCTCTCCGACGCACCAGGAAGGAGGTCAAGGACCGCGGCCGATGGAGGACGGACCAGAGCCTCCTCCGCTATGCCAAGAGGGCTCGTATGCAGCAGCGGATCGCCACCCTAGGCCAGCACTTGATCGACTTCGGGCACGCGGTCGACTCGCAGATGAACGATCTCATTCTGCAGACCTCCTCCTCAGGCGTCTTCCCGCTGCAAGTGCCGCTTGCCGTGACGCCGACACCGCCAGCGGTCAGGCCTCCGCCTCCGCGAGCGACAGCGCGGTGGGCCTTCGCCTGACGAGGATTTGGCGTGCAGCCAGGCGTGCTGCGACGCGGTCCAGGTACTCGCCCGCCCTAGTAATCGGCGGCGACGGCGGCGCGGCTCGCGCTCTGCAGCGCCTCGGCTTTGGCGTGCTGCACTTGAAAGTGAGACGCCATGTTACTGATGACATCACAGATCCTTTAGTGATGAAGCGCGTGCTCGGATGGATTCGCGCAGGCTGTATCTCGTGCGTGTGGGTGGAGCCCGACACGACTACGTGGCTCCCTCAGAAGCCCGCTGTCCGTAGCAAAGCTCGAGCCAACGGCCTGCCGAGTCTGTCCAGTGCCCAGCTTCGATCAGTTGCCATTGCGAATCTGTTTCTCAGTCATGTTGTGCGCCTTCTGTCAGTGTGTAGCGACAATAAGGTTCCAGCCGCTCTGTGTCATCCAGATGCGTCTTTCATCTGGGATGTCCCTTCTTGCAAAGCTATAGTTAGCCAATGTTCGTCTGCTGCCGTTTTCGATGCATGTATGTTCGCTGGCCGTATAAAGAGAAGATTTCGATTAGTGAGCTGGCATGTGCAAGACATGAGTTCTCTTTCTGCTATCTGTTCGCCGGCCGACTCGCGTTGCTGCCGATCTGGGAAACGGCATCTTGGCGAGCTCGGCATCCCATCTTTAGATCGGCAGGTACGCAGCAAAGCGCTGCGGCTCCCCGCTAATGTTCTAAGATGCGCCTGCGACAGGATGGCTCTCAGTGTTGATTCGCTTCGCTACATTGCTCGGCAGATCAGAGCTGTGTGAATTCAGTTAATGCGGCTTTCAAGCCAGTGGGATGGGCTAGCCTAGGTACCTGGTGCATCGCGACAGCATGCGTCCGCTGTCCTCGCCTGTTGCCGAGTCCTTTGCACAAAAAGATAGCCCCTGGCCTCCAGAGTTGCCCACATATTGCTGTCCGCGGCTTTTTGTGGCTCTCTTTCGGGCCGCACTTCCATTCTCAAGCTTCTCCCGCCCGCCCTGTTTCCCGCTCTAGAATGTTTTACCTGGTGCATCGCGACAGCATGCGTCCGCTGTCATCGCCTGTTGCCGAGTCCTTTGCACAAAAAGATAGCCCCTGGCCTCCAGAGTTGCCCACATTATCATTATCAGTATCATCATCATCATCATCACCACCACCACCGCCACCACCATCATCACCATCATCATCATCATCGTCATCGTCTTCATCATCATCATCATCACCATCGTCATCATCATCAGCATCATCCTCATCATAATTCTCATCATCACCATCATCCTCCTCATGATCATCATCACCGCCAATATCATCACTGTCGTCATCATCAACAACAACACCATCATCACCATTATCATCATCACCATCAGCAGCATCATCACCATCATCATCATAATCATCATCAGCAGCATCAACATCATCATCATCATCACCACCACCATCATCATCATCATCATCACCATCGTCATCGTCATCATCCGCCTCCCCTCCCTCCCCCTCCTCCTCCTCCTCCTCCTCCTCCTCCTCATCCTGCTCATTACCCTTCCTTCTCATCTTCCTCCATCTCCTCCTTCTCCTTATGATTTTCCTCCTCCTCCTCCTCCTTCCTTCTCCTCCTCCTCCCTCCTCCCTCCTCTCTCCATCTCTCCCTCCTCCCCCCTCCTCCTTCTCCTCCTCCTCCTCCTCCTCCTCCTCCTCCTCTTCCTGCTTCCCTCTTCTCTCTCCTCCTCCTCCTCCCCCTCCTCCTCCTCCTCCTCCTCCTCCTCCTCCCTCCATCCTCCTTCTCCTTCTCCTCCCCCTTCTGCTCTTCCTTTTCCTTTTCCTTCTCCTTCTTCTCCTCCTCCTCTTCTCCTCCTCCTCCTCCTCTCCCTCCATCTTCCTTCTCCTTCTCCTCCTTCTTTCCCTCCTTTCCTCTCCTTTTCCTTCTCCTGCTCCTCCTCCTCCTCATTCCCCACCTCCTCCCCCTCCTCCTCCTCCTCCTTCCCATTCCTCCTCCTCCTCCTCCTCCTCCTCCTCCTCCTCCTCCTCTTCCTCCTGCTCCATCCTCCTTCTCCTTCTCCTTCTCCTTCACCTCCTCCTTCTCCTTCTCCTTCTCCTTCTCCTCTCTCCTCCTCCTTTCTCCTCCTCCCCCTCGTCAGCGCACGGCGGCCGTCCCGCCAGGAGCTCGCCGCACAGGCTTCCTCGTCGGCCGCCCGCGGCCGGGGGGGCCTCGCTGGGCCCGACGGCGGCCTGCACAGGTTCGGCCACCCGCAGAAGGGAGATGAGGGGCAGGGGGGGACGGCTTCTGAGAAGCACCCCTGCTTCTTAGAAGGCGCGGGCCGTCATCTATACGCAGGTGCAAGGCCCACGCCTTCTAAGGGGCGGCCTCCTCCTGAGAAGTTCCCCCTCCCCTCCCCCTGCCCCCTTCTGCGCGCCGCCGGCAGGTGGCACCGCAAGCTCGCGGGTGCGAAGGCGCGGGGCTCGGGCCATGGGCAAGGTTGGGGGGAGGCGAGGGGCCTCCAGGTGGTGTGTTCGGGCGCTCTCGTCTGTCCTTGACGCTCTTCCAGCCTCGGGAGGCCGTCTAGTAGCGGCGCCTCGCCAAGAGCGTTCTGGGGGTGCCTGGATCGCCCCGACCGGCCGCTGGAGAACCGAGTCATGACCCGAAAGCCTGGGGGGAACCGTCAGGGGCGTACGGCTTCGGCAGCGGGTGCCTATCGCCGATCTATCGGCGATGTATCGCCAATTCTGGGCCGGTGCTTTCCCCCCCGAGCCAGCCCCCCCCCCCCGAGCCAGCCACCCCCCCCCGTATCGTGTGTCCCCCATCGGGGAAGGGTGGGCAACCGTGCGAGCAGCGAAGGCGGGCGCCAGCAGTGTTTGCCGCGCCCAGACATCCGAGGTCTTGCACTTCTCAATGCACGTCGGTCGTTGAAACTCGGTATTCTTAATTCACAGATCCCAATCTACTTCAAGCGCCTTCCCACTTCAATAATCGATATGCTTTTACTGTGTTTTGTCATTCCCTGGGAGGGCCTGAGCCCGATCTACTTTCAACGCCTTCCTACTTCATGTTTTTACCTACTTCTTCCGACCGACGTGTACAGGGCCCACGGAGGTCTGGACCTCTTCCCCAATGCCAGCTCTTGCTTCCCTCGTGAGTCTTCTTGCTGACGGTCCCGGCGCCAGGCGAGGCCCCCGGAGGCCGAACACAGCAACATGTCTCTCGTCGTGATTTTTGCCGCAGCGCGAGCATGTCTGGGATCGGGCTGGGGGGGGGGAGCCCCAGCCTGGGGGCGCGAAGGCAGTCGCGCTCCTCGCGTCGCGGCCCGGGCCGGAGCAGCCGCCCTCCACCCTGGGGGGCGGCGCGAGGGCGCGAGGGGCGCGAAGAGAAGCGCGCGTCGCGAGGCGCGAGGCGTGAGGCGCGAGGTCCGGTGACCCTGCGACCTGGCGAGCGGCGCGGGCGGGCGCCCGCAGCACTGGCCAGGCGGCCCCCCGGGTGCGCTGCCGCGGGTGCCCTCCGCTGCGCTCGGCAGGGCTGCCGCAGCAGCGGCTGAGGTGCCGTGGCGTGGGCACGTCCTCTGGGGGTCCCTTTGTTCGGCGCCTCCCAGGGGGCGTCTCGGGGGGCCCCCTGGGGCCGGGTCGCCCCCCGAGGGGCGCGAAGATGGTCGCCCCTGGGCTCGTCGCGGGCTGGGCCGGAGAGCAAGCAGCCCTTCCCCAAGTCGGGGGCGGCAAAGAGGGGGGTGATGACTAGGGGGGGATGGATCTCATGGCGTGGGTCATGATATTTCCCCAGCTTTCACGGCGCCTCTGCTAATTTCGTTACGTCCCTGGCCCCCCATTGGGCCGCGCACATGCCGCTGGCCACGATTTGCACCCCCTCTCTTGGACGCCCCCCTCTTGGCCGCCCCCGACCAAGGTGGCCTCGCAGGTGCGCGGAGAGAGCCGCGCGTCGATCATCGCTCGGGGGGGGGGGGGGAGGGGGCGTGGACTGGCGACGGGTCCCGTTTCCATGGGGAGTCGCGGATTTCCGCCGCCGAGCGAGGCGGCACCGGCCTCATTCTGGGGAGGGCACCTCGCCCGATCCATGGATTTGGCGACCGCGCGCCAAATCCAGGGGCCGCTAATCCATGCTTGCGCGCCCCCGAATCGCTGGGCTGCCGCGGCAGCGGCTGAGCGCCGTGGCGTGGCACGGCCGTGGTATCGTCACGGTTATCGTGGCACCTCTCGGAGCGCCGTTTCGGAGCGTCTTCGGGGGCTTCTTCGGTGCATCTCGGTGGGCCCCTCGGGGGGCCTCTGGGGTGCAGTCCCCGCCGACCCCAGTCTGCCCCAAAGGGCTCGCCCTGGGGCGGGGGGGTCTTCCGACCACTGCGAACCGGGGGCCTTCAAAACGGTGCGTTGACCACACCGTGTGGTGATTCAGTGAAGATTCGGGGTGGCCGCACGATCTTGGGACTCGGGTCGTTCTACGAGAACGCCTCGTGCGACCCGGGCCTTCAGGATCCCAAGACCGTGCGGTGACGGACCGTGCCGTGAGGTCTGTCTGGGAGTCCGAGGTCACCGCGCAGTCTGCCACGCCACCCCGGGCATCCCCCGATCTGATGTTTACATCCGCGGCCCCAGAGCTCCCAACCCCTTGACGTTGGTAGTTTGGCGTCCCAAATCCGTTTTGCGTGACGGTGCCCGCCCCGATGACGCGCTTGGGGGGCCGAAGTGAAGGACGAGCACCAGGACTGAAGCAGATTATAGAGAGTCGCAGGTCTGGGATTGCGAAGGATGTCGTGGTGCATCTGCCCGCCGTGCCTTTGCCTCCTCCGTCCCCGAGGGCCGCATGGACGGCACCTCCCCGAAGGAGACGGACGCGCAGCTCTCGCAGGCCTCGCAGACCTCGCAGGCCGTCCTCCCTCCACCCCTCCCTCCATCCCTCAGGAGGAGGAGGAGGAGCAGGAGCAGGAGCAGGAGGAGGGGGAGGAGGAGGAGGAGGCGGCACAGTTCACGAGGAGGAGGAGGAGGAGGAGGAGGAGGAGGAGGAGGAGGAGGAGGAGGAGGAGGAGGAGGCACAGATCGCGCGTCCTTGAGGCCTGCTGGAGGCTCTTCGTCGCCACGGCTTGAGCCGCCCTTTAAAACCGGCCAGGACGGACCCCGGGAGGAAAGAGGAGGGAGGAGGAAGTGGGGGGAGGAGGGAGGAGGTGGGAAGAGGAGGGAGGAGGGAGGACGGGGAGCATGAGGACACATGCAAAATGTCAAGATCGGAAGCTCGAGCACGACAGCGGGCCTGGCCACCTCCCTCAACTCCTCCCAGAACATGTGGTTGTTCTAGCGCCACACCGGGCCTGGCCATCTCCTGGAAATCTCTTATAATATAAGGTTGCTCGAACGCCACAGCGGGCCCCACCAACTCCCGCATCTCCTCCCATAACATATGGCACGCCCCACGCCGAAAAGAGTGTTATTACATGTATCCGCTCACCTGAACGGCACGTCGCTTCCGACATCTGGGGCCCAAGAGGAAAATCATTCGGCCTGCGTAATCATATGCACAAGTTGTGCAGTCAGGTACACCAAGACCGACAACGGCGACGTGACCATGGACCAAGATGAATATGTAAAACAGCTGCTTGCGATCACGCACCCCGATCTCGTTGAAGCTCACCAGACGCACCAGCGAGTAAGCCTGTCAACGGTACGTTTGTCAGTCTACGGGGGGCTCTCGCCTACTTGGCACTGACCCAATTCTGGACCATGGTATACACTGTGCCACTACAGCGCATTCAGCAACCAACCGACCTCCAGGCGAACGACTCAACGCCCTCGCGCGTTAAAGGAACCCAGGAAGATCATTCATCGAACCATGACTCTTGACGGCAAGGTGACCCGGGCTACCGAAAGTTCATTGGTCAGGAAGACGACGAAACAAAAGGCAATCGATTTCGGGTATGCAATCGTCTGCGTCGTGGAATCACGATCAGTAAGGAAGAGGCGATCCATTGCATCAAGAGCCTAGGTGAATCTCATTGCCTCCAGGTTCGATCCAGCTATGCTGCCGAAGCACTAGCTGCAGTCCGCAGCGTGGATGAATGCTACCCGACCCTAGTGACACTACATGCGCTCATCGAGGGCCATATGATCCCATTTGGGCTCAAACAGCTTTGTGAACAAGGTAGACTCTGCATCAAGGTATCCCTCACGATGGACGCCGAACCCGTGTTCAAGTCGATCACCAGCAAGGGCTTGAAAACACCGACCGAGAAGTCACTGCTTGATCACAAAAGTTGGATCAGTACATTTTGAAGCTCGGCGTTCTAAGTAATGTCAAACGGTGTGAAAACCGCGATATGACGGCAGATGATCATCCAAACGGCTGACTCGATCGGGACTTGTTGTTGCAAATCATGAGCGGACGCCAGGGTTGTACGCGCGAAGTTCAGACATATGCACCATGTCGTGGTTAAACCTATCGCCTATACGTGACGCCCCTGCTGGTCAAACACCTGATTGGGCCCTTGGTGGTCTGATGGGGGTGCTCTGCATGAGAGAGGGGCTCTTCTTTCTGGCCCCACTCAGGGCTGTCCTGGAACCGCGACGGCCCAGAGTGAGCGCGTGTCCGCGCTGCTCTTGCCTGATTTATGTCGTGGACACGAATGCCAGGAAGTGGGCGTGTTTCCACGTTCCTCCAGCCAGCCTTTTTTTTACGAACAAGTAACTGTTACTTGGTGCTGCTTGGCTGTAACTTCGTGGTCACGCGAAAGCTACCTATCATGTTGCCGATGTGGGATCAGCCCCATCGGCGCTATCCAGAGCTTTCTGGGCTGCCTTCTGGCTGCCCCAGCATGGGCTGTATTTGCTCAGCTTATCTTTGCGTTCTTACATGTAGGTGCTAAGTGCACTGGCTCATGGAGACATGAACCAGTACTTCGCACCTTTGTGTTTGTATCCGGGCCTTTCTGTCTTTTTGCAACTGAAGTGGCCGTGTTAGGCGGCTACTGGCACCTTGCGGCTGCCTTGAGCCGAGTGAAGGACAGCAGCGGTCAGGCTTCGTTCCGCACTTTTTTGGGGGAGTATCCCAGGGGGGACATAAGGTTGCCTGATGCCGCTGTCGTTTTTGTTCAAAACAGCGCCGCCCCATCTGCTAGTGTAGGCGGCGTTGCCTGCACTTGATGTGCGGTGCTGGCAGGAGAAAGGGGCCATTGCCTTTTCTCCTCCATCACCATCCGGCTACTTGACAGTCCTGGACCATTACTTGGTTATCAGCAGTCATGTCTTGGAACCACCCGTGCAAACTGTGCGTGAGGAGTGTGCCGACATGGGTCGTGCGGACGCATGTGGGCTTTGCCATTGGGGCTTTCGGTGGAGCTCCTTGTGGGGCCACGAAACGTGTGAAGGGTGTGCCGAGATTGATGCGGGTACCGCGTGCGAGGCTTGCTACTGGGGCCTTCGGCGGGGCTCCCTGTGGCACCACGAAGCGTGCGAGATGTGTGCTGAAATGCGGAGGACAGGAGCAGGGACGGGAGGAGGGAGGAGGGGGAGGAAAAGGAGGAGGAACGATGAGGAACGAGGGGCGCAGTTTACCCAACACCGCAGGATGGTTGGAAAATCAGGTCGTCGGAGGTTTTGGCTCGACGGTCTGCTCCCCCTCGCCCTCCCCGATCCCTCCTCCCCGATCCTTCTCCTGTCGCCCCCCCCCTCCCTCGCCCGCTCCCCCTCCCCGATCCTCCGCCCCGATCGTTTCCGTCGCCATTCCCGATCCTCCTCCCCGACTCTCCTCCCCGACCTTCCTCCCCGATCGCCCTCCCCGCTCCCTCCTCCCCGATCTCCCCTCCCTGATCCTCCTCCCCGATTCCTCCTCCCGAGATCCTCGAAGGTTTCCAGTATCTCGACGGCCTCTGGCGCCACCTCCCTGTCCCAGAAGAAGATCTCCACGGCTTCTGCTGCGAGCCAGCGGAGCTCCGCCTCCGCCGGGGCCCCGCAGATCGCCACGTTCACGCCGTGGAAGCCCGCGGACAAGCCGGCCAAGAAGCCCAGCGGCGGTCAGGGGCAACGTCGTTCGTTCGAGGCTTGAGGTTCCAGATTTTTGGGCGTCGTCGCCGGTTCGTGGCGCGCTTCCAGCCTCGGGAGGCCTTCTGGGCGCCTCGCCGAGGGCGTTCTGGGGGCAACGTCGTTCGTTCGAGGCTTGAGGTTCGACGGTTTCGGGCGTCGGTTCTCGGCGCGTTTCCAGCCTCAGGAGGCCTTCAGCAGCTGCGCCTCACCGAGAGCGTTCTGGGGGCAACGCCGTTCGTTCGAGGTTTGAGGTTCGAGGGTTTCGGGCGTCTTCGTCGGTTCTTGGCGCTTTTCCAGCCTCGGGAGGCCTTCCAGCAGCTGCGCCTCGCCGAGGGTGTTCTGGGGGTGCTCGGATCCCGCGGAGCGGCCGTCGGAAAGCCGAGTTATGACCGGGTACCGCTAAGGGGGATTGGCTTCGGGGGGGACGCATCGACCTCCCGATCCATCGGCGATGCATCGCCGATTCTGGGTCGATGCTTTCCGCTCTGAGCTGGCCTCCCCTAACGCCCCCCCTCAGGTGGTGGAAGAGTGGCCGACTCGCAGCCTAGCTCGAAGAAGAAACAACGGCATGAACATAACCTTTCGGCGCTCCACGCGAATTTCTCGGATCGGCGCTACGGGCCCCCTGGTGGCGCCTCCAGCGTCGCCCTTGGCGCGCTCCGCCCGCAAGAGAGCAAGGTCACTCGTCGCGGCCTGGGCTGGAGAGCTACCCCTCTCCAGGGCGGTTTGGCGGGGGCGCGAAGATCACCGCACGTCACGCATCGCGTGGCCCGATGCGCGAAGTGAGGTGACCTAGGCGAGGGGGGCCTAGCGCCGATCCAAGAAATTCGCGCCTGAACTCCGAATGCGTATCTTTGTGCAGTTTTTCCTTCCTCCACCAGCGGCGGAGGAGGAGCCGCCGACCCGCAGCCCGCCGCCGCGCTGGCGAGGAAGCCGCCGCAGATCGCCACGCTCCAGCCGTGGAAGCCCTTAGACAAGGCTCCGAGGAGGGACACTTATTCTGGATGGGACCATCATCGTACCCCCTCCCCCTTTGGATCCGCGGGGGCGCTTGGGCGCGTGCTGTCAGAACGGGGGGAGGAGGAGGAGGAGGAGGAGGAGGAGGAGGAGGAGGAGGAGGAGGAGGAGGAGGAGAGGAGGAGGAGGAGGAGGAGGAGGAGGAGGAGGAGGAGGAGGGGGAAGAGGAGGGGTGGGAGGAGGGGGTGGGAGGAGGAGGAGGAGGAGGAGGAGGAGGAGGAGGAGGAGGAGGAGGAGGAGGAGGAGGAGGAGGAGGAGGGCGATTTTGGGGTATGCTGGTTGAGTTTCAGGGCCACCCGTTGCCAGACGACCCCCTGGAAAGGTTAGGTCTTTTGAACCCCACCCCCAAATCGCTGTCCATCACTGCTGCTGCCTTTTACTTTTTCACCCTCGCCCATCCCTGTCCGCATCCGCTCTCGTCTGATGCCGCTCTCGCTCTGATCCCCCAGCTCCGCTCCTCTGTCCGTCGTGTTGTGCGCCCGCATACGACGGCCACGGGCAACCGCAGAACTGCGGTTTCTGCCAGGCCGCCCCGCTCTTACAGCAGCAGCGGGTGCAGCAGTAGCAGTAGCTGTAGCAGTAGTAGCACTTGTAGTGGCGATTGCGATTAACCCGAACCTGACCGATGGGTACGAGCGCAGGAGGAGGAGGAGGAGGGCGAGGGGAGGAGGGGGGGACAAGGGAAGCTTCGCCTGAAGGTCATCTCCCAACTTGATAAATACCTCATCCAGGGTACCGATACCGCGTCCCTCTCTTCATTGCCAGAACGCACCCCAGGTGAGGTCCGTGGACCCTGAGATCCGACGTTGCGAAAAATGTCAGTATCGCGAAAAATCACGGCCAGAGCCCTGGACCCATTTTTCTACGTCATTTTTCGAGCCAGTCGTTGCGCAATGGCCCCAGGGCCGAGAACTGCGCGAAAGCGACCGCCGTGGAAAGTTGCAACGCCTGGATCTCAGTGGAGAGTAGCGGTATGGGTATACATATATGTGTATGTACATGTTGGGCGTTCCAGACAAGGCCTTGCCTTCGAGGGTAGAAGGAGTTGTCATCTCTTCCGCCGCGGAAGGCGGCGGAAGGGCGGCGGAAGGTCGGCGGAAACAAAATGAGGCCGCCTCCGCCGACGGAAGCCGGCGGAAGATCGGCGGAAGGCGGCGGAAATACGAAATGCGCCCCAAGAGATGACAAGTTTTGGGGTACAGGGTTTACGAAATCCGCCATATGTGTATATTCGTGTATCTGGTGTGTATATATTTATATACATGTACATCTGCATGCATCTCTGTGATCACATATAGTTATAATGTTACGTACACGTATACGTATGTATATGTGTATGGATGTGTAAATCTAGATGTATGGATTTCCGTATGTCTGTTTGTCTGCCTCTTGTGTCTTTATGTTTGTATGTGTATATGTGTATATGTATGCATGTATGCATAGACTTGGTATGTGTGTATGCATATGTGTGTATTTGTGTACGTATGCATGCTTTCATACATGTGTGCATGCATGCAAATATGTATATTCATATGCACATGTATGTATGCATGTATGCATGCATGCATGTATGTATGTATGCATGTGTGTATGCATGTATGTACGTATGCATGCATGTATGTATGTATGCATGTATGCATTTGTATGCATGTATGTATGTTTGTTCATACGTATATGTGATGATGTACGCATGAATGTATGTATGTATGCATGCATGCATGCAGACATACAGGTATGTATGTATGTATGCATGTATGTATGTATGCATGCATGTAATTATACACGTATGTATGTATGTATACATACATGCATGCATGCATGCATCAATGTACGTATGTATGTATGTAGGTGTGTATGTATAGTTATTTATATATATATATATATATATGCATGTACGCGACTGTATGTATGTAAGTATGTGTGTATGTATGCATGCATGCATGTATGCATGCATTTATGTATGTATGCATGTATGTATGCATGGATGGTTGTGTGCATGCGTGTGCATATACATATATGCGTATGTAAACATATGTATATACATATGGCATGTGTACACCTAAATGTATATGTATGTGTGTGTGTGTTCCCCGGAGGCGGCGGCGGCGCCGCCGCAGCCCATGGCCGTCCCGCAGATCGCCACCACAAGCGGCGGCGGCGGCGGCGGCGGAGGAGCCGCCGACCCGCAGCCCGCGGCCGTGCCGGCGAGGAAGCCCGCGCAGATCGCCACGCTTCAGCAGTGGAGGCCGGCGGCCAAGGCCGAGGAGCAGGGCCTCGGAGACGACGAGGTGCACAGCTCTGCCATGCAGGTCTGGCGGCGCGCCGCGGGGGGGGGGGGCATCGGCCACGCGTAGGAGTGGCCCGTCGCCGAAGTGACCTCTGGTGCGGGCCCACCGGGGGTCCCCCCAGCATTGGTTGGCGCGCTTGGAAGTAAAATGAGGCCGCCTCCGCCGACGGAAGCCGGCGGAAGATCGGCGGAAGGCGGCGGAAGTAAGAAATGCGCCCCAAGAGATGACAAGTTTTTGGGTACAGGGTTTACGAAATCCGCTATATGTGTATATTCGTGTATCTGGTGTATATATATACATGTACATCTGCATGCATCTCTGTGTTCATATATAGTTATAATGTTACGTACACCTATACGTATGTATATGTGTATGGATATGTAAATCTAGATGTATGTATTTATGTCTGTCAGCCTGTCTGCCTCTATGTCTTTATGTTTGTATGTGTATATGTGTATATGTATGCATGTATGCATAGACTTGGTATGTGTATATGCATATGTGTGTATTTGTGTATGTATACATGCATTCATAGATGTGTGCATGCATGCAGATATGTATATTCATATACACATGTATGTATGCATGTATGCATGCATGCATGTATGTATGTATGTATGCATGTGTGTGTATGTATGTCTGTACGTATGCATGCATGCATGTATGCATGTATGTATGCATGTATGTTTATTTGTATGCATGTATGTATGTTTGTACATACGTATATGTGTGGATGTACACATGAATGTATGTATGCATGCATGCATGCATGCAGACAGACAGGTATGTATGTATGTATGTATGTATGTATGTTTGCATGCATGTAATTATACACGTGTGTATGTATGCATGCATGTACGCATGCATGCATTAATGTATGTATGTATGTATGTATGCATGCATGCATGCATGCATGTATGTTTGTGTATATATATATATGTATGTATGCATGTACGCGACTGTATGTATGCATGTATGTGTGTATGCGTGTATGCATGCATGCATGCATGTATGTATGCATGCATGTATGTAGGTATGTATGCATGTATGTATGCATGGATGGTTGTGTGCATGTGTGTGCATATACAGATATGCGTATGTAAACATATGTATATACATATGGCATCTGTATATCTATATGTATATGTATGTGTGTGTGTTCCCCGGAGGCGGTGGCGGCGCCGCCGCAGCCCATGGCCGTCCCGCAGATCGCCACCACAAGCGGCGGCGGCGGCGGCGGCGGAGGAGCCGCCGACCCGCAGCCTGCGGCCGTGCCGGCGAGGAAGCCCGCGCAGATCGCCACGCTTCAGCCGTGGAGGCCGGCGGCCAAGGCCGAGGAGCAGGGCCTCGGAGACGACGAGGTGCACAGCTCCGCCATGCAGGTCTGGCGGCGCGCCGCGGGGGGGGGGGGGCATCGGCCACGCGTAGGAGTGGCCCGTCGCCGAAGTGACCTCTGGTGCGGGCCCACCGGGGGTCCCCCCAGCATTGGCTGGCGCGCTTGGATGGCTTGGGTCTGGCCCTCCCCCGCGGCCCCCGAAAGCCGCGCACCAAAGGCCACTCTTGCCCAGGGCCGCTGTTCCACTCTTGCGTGCAGCCGAGGAAGTGAGAGGGGGCAGGCCTTCTCAGAGTGTTGGCGGGGCTTCTCAGAAGCCCTCGGGCCTTCCGAGAAGCCGCCTCTGCCTCCGGAGGCGGCTCGGCAAGCTTCTCACGAAGGGGAGGCCCGCTCCTCCACCCACCCACCCCCCGTGGGCTCGCCGCCGGCAGGTGCCCTCGGAGCCCCTCGTCAGGATCCCAGAGGCGTTGGGGGCGGCCAAGAGGGGGGTGATGACTGTAGGACCACAGGAGGGTTATGCCTCGGAGCGTTTCGGACATTCTTTCCGGCTCTCGGAGGTTTGCTTGCCTCGGGGTGCTTTCCAGCAGCTGCGCCTCGCCGAAGGCCTTCCACGAGGTGCCGGGATCTTCCTGAAAGGCCGCCAGAGGCCCGAGTTCTGACCCGGAAACCACCAGGCGTCGAAGAGGTGTGTGATGATTCAGTGGGGGGTATCATGGCCAGGGCCATGGGATCTGCCTGAGGGTCGTGGCGCCCTCTTCTTCTTTCAAGACGTTCCCTGCCCTCTACAACCAAAGTGCGGCGGATCCGTACGTGGTTGCATCACGCGGCAAATAAAGCTTTCCGGGAGAGATAAAAGACGGGCCTCCTCACGTTCACCGAGGTATGGGAGGGCTTTGGCCCGCCCGCGCCGCTCTGATAAGGGGCCTATCGGCCAGCTGGCCGGCAGACTCGCGCATCGTGCGTCCAACGGCCCTCCCCCCCCCCCCCTCTGTGCCGCGCACATGTCTTCCAGATCCCCGACATCTGATTTTTTTTCATATTGTCGAGCCCCAGAGGTCACGACGTTATCCTGAGTGTTTTTTTGACGGTCCCGAGGCCCAGTAAGGGCCCCCAGAGGCGGAAAATATAGACATGTTGTCCGTCGTGAATTTTGCATGGCTCGAGGGATCTGGGATCGATCGGGCCATGACTTGTGAACCTCCCTCTCGGACGCCCCCCGAAAAGGCGGCCGCCCAGCCCGCGCCCGGGGCTCCGGAGCCTCCGGAGTGCACCTCGTCGGAGCCGCCCGTCTGCTCGACCATGAGCTACCCGACGCTGGATGCTGGAGAAGAAAGTCGGCGGCGCGCCCGCGGGGCGAGTGAGAGTCTAGGCCTCTTAGATGGGGTCCGCGTAGATGGGATCGGAGGATTGCGCCGCATCGCCGATGCATCGATGGGATCGGAGGATTGCGCCGCATCGCCGATGCATCGGCGATGCGGGTCGATGTGGAGCCCGCTTTTCTTCGCGCTGCTGTCGCCGATACACCGCCGACGTCGCCGATGCATCGGCGATGCGGCGCGATCCCCCGACCCCATCAACTCGGACCCCATCTAGGAGGCCTCGAAAGAGGGGGCAGGCCTTCTCAGAAGGCGGCGGGGCTTCTCAGAAGCCCTCGCGCTTCTGAGAAGCCCTGTGTGGGGCCCCACTGTGTTGGCTCCCCGAGCAGCCCTCGGAAGCTCGACAGAATCACACTTCGCGGACCCACAGGGATTGCGAGGTCCCGTTTGGGTTTGCGTGGGGCCCCACTGTGCTGCCTTCCCCCAGCAGCCCTCGAAACTGGCGACAATTTCACAGCCTCCCAAAGATGGCGAAGTACCGTTTAAATCTGCGCGGGGCCCCACTGTGCTGGCCCCACCTGCAGCCCCCGCAAGTGGCGACAGTTTCACACTTCGCAGCCCCCAAGAGGGATGCGAAAGGAGAGAGCCGGGAGGAGAGCGGGGGGGCGAGGAGGGAGTTGGCAACCCCACTGCTCCATTCAAAACGAGAATCCAGCCAAGGGCGAGTTGGGAAAAATCAGAGGCAGCAGCGTGGAATGGGGATTCCCCGCTGCAATGTCCCGGCGGAGAACCGCGGGTCACGCCCGGAGGCCGCGAGGAGGACATCCACCTCCATCCTCCTTGACGTCCACCACCTCATCCCCCTCAGTCCTCCGCAACAAGCACCTGCTCGTGCACCTTCTAAAGCAGCACCACCCTGGCATCCCCCTCCCCATCGTCCTCCTCCTCCTGGCCATCCTAGTCCTCCTCCTCCTCCTCCTCCTCCTCCGCGTCCTGCTGCTCCTCCTCCTCCTCCTCCTCCTCCTCCTCCTCCTCGTCCTGCTGCTCCTCCTCCTCCTCCTCCCTTACCTCCTCCTCGTCCTCCCCCCCTCCTCCTCTGCCTGCTACTGCACCAGATCATGGATAAGACGCGGCAGGCTGCATGAATAAGACGGCGCCGATGCACCTACATCCGCGTGCAGGTTGCGCGCGGGTGAACGCGCAATCGATCCCCGCGGCACCGCCCCCCCCGCTTCAAATTAGGCGGTGCAACGGACCGCTCCTGTCAAAGCCTCGTCTCCCCTTTCGGGGGCGGTTAACGCACCCATCCCGCTAGCAGACCGTGGAGGCCTTGGATAAGGAATCCAGGATCTGGAGCCTTGTGGAGATCCGCTTGCGTGGAACGGGGGGGGGTGCTGAAGTTGTCCGCCCCCGATCATTGTGAGCTCTCGACCCTCCTTTCGTCTCCTCTCCCCCCCCTACTTCCTCCTCCCTCCCGCCTCCCTTCTCCCTCCCCCCTCCCTCCCACCTCCCTCCCACCCTCCCTCCGCTTCAGGTCCCCTGGAGGAGGACGGCAGGTGAGCGGTGCGGTTGCAGTTGCGCGCCCGCGGGCGGGTTGAAATGTGTCGCCCAGGTGCGGTTGCAAGCCCGCGGGCGGTTTGAAATGTGTCGCCCAGTTGCGGTTGCGGTCGCGCGCCCGCGGGCGGGTTGAAATGTGTCGCCCAGTTGCGGTTGCGGTTGCGCGCCCGCGGCCGGGTCGAAATGTGTCGCGTAGTTGCCTTTTGCGCGCCCGCGGGCGGTTTGGAATGTGTCGCCTAGGTGCGGTTGCGGTTGCGCGCCCGCGGGCGGGTTGAAATGTGTCGCCCTGTAGCGTCTGCAGTTGGGCGCACGCGGACGGGTTGAAATGTGTCGCTCAGGTGCGGTTGCGGTTGCGCGCCCGCGGGCGTGTTGAAGTGTGTCGCCCAGTTGCGGTTGCGGTCGCGCGCCCGCGGGCGGGTCGAAATGTGTCGCGTAGTTGCGGTTGCGGTTGCGCGCCGCGGGCGGGTCGAAATGCGTCGCCCGCGTTGCGGGCGGGCCGAAATGTGTCGCCCAGGTGCGGTTGCGGTTGCGCGCCCGCGGGCGGGTTGAATTGTGTCGCCCAGTTGCGGTTGCTGCTGCGCGCCCGCGGGCGGGTTGAAATGTGGCGCCCAGTTGCGGTTGCGGTTGCGCGCCCGCGGGCGGTTTGAAATGTGTCGCCCAGGTGCGGTTGCGGTTGCGCGCCCGCGGGCGGGTCGAAATGTGGCGCCCAGTTGCGGTTGCGGTTGCGCGCCTGCGGGCGGGTTGAAATGTGTCGCCCAGTTGCGGTTGCGGTCGCGCGCCCGCGGACGGGTCGATCTGTCGCCCAGTTGCGGTTGCGCGCCCGCGGGCGGTTTGAAATGTGTTGTTCAAGGCGCCCTCCTGACGTTCAGTCAGTCAATCAGTCAATCAATCAGTCACCGGCGGGCACGGAATGTCACCCGGCTCCGCCGGGAAAAAAAACCCGACGGGCAGTTTTCGGCCTCTGGGGATTCTCGCGGGGCTCCGGGACCGTCAAACAATTACGTATACTTTTTTGACGGTCCTGGGGCATGGGACGCCTCAGAATGAAAAGCCGGTGCCCGGGAACGGGTCGAGACCTGTCGGGATCGACACTTTGAAATCATAGCCGGAGTGCAGTGTTCCCAAACAGGGTTTTTAAACCCACTGTGGTTTCCAAGGTCGATTGCGTGCCCGTCCAGTGATAACATGATGTTTGCACATGATATGTTTACACGGCAACTTGTGTGACGCATGCCTATCAGGAAGCTAACACTGGAGGGTGTCGTACTCTCTCGCACCTGGTCGACGAGTAAGCTGTCGGGTCGGCATTGTGAGAGGCTCCACCGCCATGCTGTGAATTCAGAAGCAATTGTAAGATGCACCGGGAGAGGGCGCGGAAACGGGGGGGCATGTCGTGATGGTTCCCTCGCGAATGATATCGAGAGGTACGCGGCGCACGTCTCAAAAGAAATATCGTGACTTCGGATGTCTGGGGAGGGCGGAAGGCAGGGCGTGCATGACGGATGCTGAGGCGGCAGAAACGACGACGGCGGGGACGGGGAGGCGGAGGCAGAGGCGTAGCAGCGGGAGGCGGGAGGAGGGAGGAGGGAAGAGGCGCCAGGCGGAAAGCGGGAAGAGGGAGACGGGAGAAGGAATGAGAGAGGTTGTGATTGGAGCCCCTGTGCTACGAAACGTCTCAGGCAGAACGGGCCTGACCATCTCGCGCGCAACATCTTCGAGCTTCGCATTGTGAGGATGGCTCAAACGAAACGGGCCGGACCACCTCGCGAGCGACATCTTGGAGCTCCGTATTGGAAGGATGTCTCAAACGAAACGGGCCAGACAACCTCTCGCACACGTTCTGACAAGTCCACGTCAGATTCGTTTCCCGTTAGGTCCTCTCCTGCAACTCCCTTCCTTTTCCCTCCTCCTCCTCCTCCTCCTCCTCCTCCTCCTCCTCCTCCTCCCCCTCCTCCTGCCTGCTCCCTCATCCACATCATCCTCGTCCTTCTCCCTTCCATCTCCTTCTCCTTCTCCTCCTCCTCCTCCTCCTCCTCCTCCTCCTCCTCCTCCTCCTCCACCTCCTCTTCATTCCGAACGGCATTTCGGGACCCAGAATTGCGAGGATGACTCCAGCGTAACGGGCTGGACCAACTCGCGCGCGGCATCTCGGACCCCAGAGTTGCGACGATGCCTCGGGCGAAACGTGCTGCGAGGAAGTCTCAGGCGAAACGGGCCGGACCACCTCGAGCGCGGCGTCTCAGAGCTCCGAGTTGCGGGGGCCTCCTGGGGCCTCCTGGGGTCTCCTGGGGACCTCCTGGGGCTTCCTCCTGGGCCTCCTGTGGCCTCCTGGACTCCACCTGGGGCTTCCTGAAGCCAATCGGGGCTCCCAGGGGGGGATATCGAACATGTGGCCGTTTGGGCCCCCAGGGCATAAAAGCAGGAAAAATCAACGAATCGACACCGGATGCGTATTAACTTGACACGTTCTGATAGGGGGCCTCCTGGGGCCTCCTGGGAGCCTCCTGGGAATCTCCTGGGGGCCCCTGGGGCCTGTCCTGGGCGTCCTCCAGCCTCCTGGAGCTCTCTGGGGCCTCCTAGGGTCCCAGGGAGGATGTGTAACATATGGTCTTCTGGGCCCCCAGGCTGGACCACCTCTTGCGCGGCATCTCAGAACTCAGAGTTGCGAGAATGTCTTGTGCGAAACAGGCCGAACCACCTTGCGCACGGTATCTCAGAACTCAGAGTTGCGAGGATGTCTCAGGCGAGACGGGCCGGACCACCTCGCGAAGGGCATCTCAGAGCTCAGAATTTGGAGGATGTCTCAGGCGAAACGGGCTGGACCACGTCGCGCGCGGCATCTCCGAGGTCAGAGTTGCGAGGGTGTCTCAGGCGAAATGGGCCGGACCACCTCTTGCACGGCAGCTCAGAGCTCAGAGTTTCTAGGATGTCTCAGGCGAAATGGGCAAGACCACCTCGCGCGCGGCATCTCAGAGCTCAGAGTTAGGGGGACGTCTCAGACGAAACGGGCAGGCCTCTCGCGCGGCATCTCGGAATGCAAAAGTGCGAGGATGTCTCAAGTGAAACGGGCCGGACCACCTCTTGGGCGGCAGCTGGGGGCTCAGAGTTTGGAGGATGTCTCAGGCGAAATGGGCTAGACCACCTCGCGCGCAGCATCTCAGAGCTCAGAGTTAGGAGGACGTCTCAGACGAAACGGGCAGGCCTCTCGCGCGGCATCTCGGAATGCAAAAGTGCGAGGATGTCTCAAGTGAAACGGGCCGGACCACCTCTTGGGCGGCAGCTGGGGGCTCAGAGTTTGGAGGATGTCTCAGGCGAAACTGGCCAGACCACCTCTCGCGCGGCATCTCAGAGAGCGCAGAGTTGCAAGGATGTCTCATGCAAAACGGGCTGGACCACTTCGCGCACGGCATATCAGGGCTCAGAGTTTGGAGGATGTCTCAGGCGAAACGGGCCGGACCACCTCTTGCGCGGCATCTCGGAGCCCAGAGTTTCGAGGATGTCTCAGGCGAAGTGGGCTGGACCACCTCTTGCGCGGCATCTCAGAATTCAGAGTTGCGAGAGTGTCTCAGGCGAAACGTGCCAGACCACCTCGCGCGCAGCATCTCAGAGCTCAGAGTGTGGAGGACGTCTCAGGCGATACGGGCCGGACCACCTCTCGCGCGGCTTCTGGGAGCTCAGAGTTTGGAGGATGTCTCAGGCGAAACGGGCCGGACCACCTCGCGCGCGGCATCTGGGAGCTCCGAGTTTCGAGGATGTCTCAGGCGAAACGGGCCGGACCACCTCTTGCGCGGCATCTGGGAACTCAGAGTTGCGAGGATGTCTCACGCGAAACGCCCAATCCTGGACAACTCAGACATGAGAGTTGCAAGGATGTCTCAGGCGAAACGGCCCAGACCACCAAATTTTTTTGAGGACGTCTCTGCCTTGATTTGCCTCGGCCGGAGTTAGCTTTAATCACCACAGCACCCCGTTCAGCAAGCTGCTTGGGGAAAAATCATGACGTCCCCTCCCCGGCGTGCAGAGCGCGCCGGGGCCGGCGCTAGAGGCGCCGCCAGGGGAACTCCAGCGCCGATCCAAGAATTCCGCGCGGACCTCCGAAAGCTTATTTGTATGCCGCTGCTCTCTGGACCTCTCTTGGGGTGCGTTCTGATTAGGATTTCGATGCGAATCCAGCCGTTGCGAGGAGTGCCTCCCAGGAGGCCTCAGAAAGGCGACAACAGAGCGCAGTGCCGAACGTTTATGTTTTCTGCTTACCTTTTCCGTCCTCTGGCACGAGGCCCAAAAATATACACGCCACCACCACTACCTCCCTCCCCCCCTCCCTCCCCCCCAGGAATCAGGAGGGGAAGAGGAGGTTCGAGGAGGAGGGGGGATGGAAGTGGTGGTGAGGGTGGTGGTGGTGGTGGTGGTTGTGGTGGTGGTGGTGGTGGTGTATATTCTTCGGGCCCGCATCTAGGATGACAGCATGATGCTCCACGCTGGCCTGCTGAACCCGGGCGCAGCTGCCGCGTCGCCGCGCCGGGCCTCGCTGGACACCTGCCTGGAAGACCCCGCCGCGGAGGAGAGCGGGCAGACAAGAGCCGGCTCGGGCAGGGGCTACTCCTGGCCCTCCGCTCCCCCATCCTCCTCCTTTTCCTCCTCCTCCTCCTCCTCCTCCTCCTCTTCCTCCTCCCCCTCGTCCTCCTCCTCCCCCTCCTCCTCCGTAGCCATTTTGGGTCAAGGCTAATGCTCTTGGAGGCTCCGCGCCTCCGTGCCTGACTGGGATAGCTCTGTTCCCCGAGCCAGCTTTCAGTCTTTTTGTGAGCTCCTGCTGGAGCAAGGTTTTGTGAGCTCCTGCTGGAGCAACAGATGGGAGGTGGAAATAATGCGTTCACCACGTGCTCGAAGTGCGGGAACTGGGACTGGCGGCTCAAGCGTCAGAAAGGGGCGTGCGCGACTTGCAGCACTGTGCAGCCAGGATGGACTATTACGGCGAATAGTATGTGGTATGCACCGTGGTGGAAGGACGGCCAGGTCGACTGGCACAAGGGCCCATCCACCTTCACGCTCGAGGATTACATGTCTAAGGCGATGGAGACGGCAGATTTGGGGAAGGACCCAGAGGCGGCCAGGCTGGCGTCGCAGCTCAAGGTCCTGACTGAGGCGAAGAAGCCTGTCTCAGCTCCCAAGCCTGCCTACATGGTGCTCAAGGAGGCCACGGCGGAGTGCTCGCGCAAGCAGGACGTGCTGGACAGAGCGGCCCGTGCTGTGGATTACGCCAAGCTGCAGCTGGAGAAGGCACGTGAGGCTTTCGACAAGGCTACCGGCGACATGGTCGAGGCGGAGTGCGCGCTTGCATGCCCAGGAGCGTGGACAAGACTCCCGGCAAGGCGCCCGAGGGTATCATGTTCGCCGTGGACCCTGCCCTGTTCGAGTCCCTCGGCGAGCTGGAGCCGACCGATAGGACGGCGCTCGAGACCTTCCAGAAGCAGTTGGAGGACATCTCGAGGCAAGCTACTGACAAGCAGAAGGAGTTCCAGGCGCTTCTCGACCAGGCGAAGAGCGCGCACAAGGAGGCTGCCACCAAGCGGCGCCGCCGTGATGAGGGAGGTGCCGCGGTCCGAGGCGAAGGGGACTCTGGCACACCTCCGCCCGCTGAGGCGGGGGGCGCGGCTGCGGCTTCCTCTGCCGCGGCTGCAGGCCAGGGTCCCAGCGCCTCCGCGGCGATTCCTGAGGCGGTGCGGAAGGACATGCGCGCCAAGTTCGTCACCAACACGGAGACTCAGGCCACGGCGGCCAAGGGCGTGGGCAAGAGTGGCGGCGATCCCGCTACTGCTGCTGCTGCTGCTGCTGCTGCTGGGCCGCCTGGCTCCTAGAGGAGCCCCGCAGTGCCCACGGCGTTGAGGCGATGCAGCGCCTGGCTCTGATGACCTACCTGATCCAGAGGACGGCTCGATGATCATCCTGTTCGGCAACATTACGGAGTGGGGGCCGCAGGCTGCGCGATTCTTGTCCCAGGAGTCGGAGCGCAGCGTCGTGGCTTTCTGCGAGACTCACACGGGCAACCAGGACATGCCTGACATCTGCGCACGCTTGGACAAGGATGGCTGGAGGCTCGCTCACACGGCGGCTTGCCCCTCGGGCAAGTCGGACAGCGGGCTTTCTGGTGGAGGGTGGATTCTGACGAGGGAGCATATTGCAGCGACGAGCTTGGAGAGTGCACGTTGCGCTGCTCTGGATGCTGGCAGGTTGGGCCGCTGCCGTGGGTTCGCGCCAATTGCGCTGCGCACCAGGGCTGGCAACTTGGTGCTGATCTCTGCGTACCTCCAGCCAGGACTGGGAGTGAAAGCCTGGAATGACGACGTGCTTGTGGCTTTGGGCGCCTTCGTGCGCTGTCTGGCTGATCCGTGCCTGATCATGGCGGAGTGGAGTATTGAGTCCGTCCCTTTTGCTGCCGCTGGTTGGCCGGGGCGCCTCAGCGCGCGGATCGTCGCTCCCTCGTGCAGTACGACGTGCGACAGAGGCATTGGACGCATGTGCGACTACGGTCTTGTTGGACGAGGTTTTCCCGAGCTGTGCTTGGGCCCTGATATGTCGGTGCCTTGGAAGACGCACTGCGGGGTCAACATATGTGTCCAGGCGGCTCGCGCGCATCGCTGGGACCGTCACCTCGTCTTACCACGGCCTCTTCCGTCCTGCGAGCGTCTTCGAGCCCTACCTGACCCTGAGAGTAAGACTTCGAAGAGGAAAGCAGCTGTCCGAGAGAGAAGGCTTCAAGAGGTCCCCCCTGAGCTCCACGAGGCCTTTGATGATTTGCACCAGCCCATGGATAGGCCTGATGGCATGGCTCTTTCAGGCCCCCCAGGCACGCGCCGCTCACCCCCTTTGCCCCGTGGGCTCCTCTGTGGGCAGAGGGCGCCGACCTTGGGGGGGGAGGGGGGGCAGTCGACCCGATGTCAGCACAGTTGAGAAGGTGACTTTTGGCATGCCTGCTGAGACTTGGGAAGAAGCACGCGCGCAGATTTACTGGGAAGGAGTCCCTGCTGCGCGCGGATTGTCTCCTTTGGGATTCCAGGGGCGCTATGCACCTTGCGACCCTGCTCAGCATGTTGGCCCCCGGTGGCAGGAAGATGCTCGCGGGGCGGTGGATGAGATGCACAATCTCTGGATTGCTGCGATGGAGAGGGCAGTTCTTTTGCATGAGAAGGTTGGTTCTGACAGGTGGAAGTACTCGGGGCGTGCTCGCGGCGCTGCTTGCTGCTGGAAGCTCGTGCGTTCGACCCCAGACAGAGCGCGCGCGAGGAACGAGCAGGCGGAATGATGGGGTATTACTAGCACGCTGGTGATCAGATATGCTGCCCTGAATCGCAACGACTCGGGCCCCGACCAGGCATGCCAGCGCGCAGTGAAGGCATAAAGACTCATCGAGCAGAGAGACGGCGTGGACGACGAGACATACTCCGGCAAGAGGCATGACTCTCCAGAGATCTTCCTGTGGAAGGGCATGGCCGCCACTTTGGATGCTGTCTCTTGGGGGCCCTTGCCTAAATTGCTGGAGAGGACTCGCAGGTGGGCCGATCTTCCAAATGCTCGGGCCACGTTGGCCTCCGGGTCCTCCCTTATGAAGTGGGCCCAATAAATGTGGGCCAAGAAACCTGGGGCCGCCCACCGCCGTGCGAAACCAACGGATGCCCCAGTTTGGGAAAGTAAGGACTCCTGGGGCACGGTCGCTTCTGACAACCAGGCGACGCTGCAAGGTCCGGCATCTGAATGGAGGGATCTCTGGAAGAACCCAGTCGACAAGCCCCAGGACATATTCAACATGATGAAGATGTGTCTTGATGAGGCGCGTACTGCGCCTCTGCCACGTATCGCTCTTCTGGGTCTGGATGCGGCGTTACCTAGGACACCTGCCAACAGGGCGAAGGGCGTCGACGCGCTGGGCCCGCTGGACATCCAGCGCCAGCCTGATCAGGCTCGCAAGGCCTTCGTCGACAACCTGAACGCGATCGAGTCTGCTGGCGTTTGGCCCGCGGCTATCAGCGCAGTCTCGGGCGCTGCGATCCCGAAGGAAGCGGGGGGATGTCGCGCGCTGGGTCCGGTTCCGATGCCTCAGTAGGTGTGGTCCAAGATGCGCTCGGAGTCTTTGGGGGAGCGGTCGGCGTCTCTTTCAGCTGTTTGGGATGCTGCAGTCGCTTGATCTTCCGCCCTACGCGCCGCGCTGATTCGTGCTGCGATGGACCAAGGTGCCCATGAGTTGCCCGTTGAGTACGCGACACTCTTCTTCGACCCCGCTGAGTTCTACGACGCAGTGAGGTTTGCGCCGTTGGTGCAGGCAGGGCTTCATTTGATTTCCGCCCATTGTATGACTGCTAGAGGTTGGCTTTTGTTCATGTCCTCGGCAGCTGAAAAAGGGACATATGATCACCGATGCGATCGAAGTCACCAGACCCATTGTTGCTGGATCTGGACATGGCGCCCCGTTGGCGAAGGTCATGCTCCACAGGTTGCTGGATTCAGTGCGCCGCGCCGCGCCCCCTGCGGGTTTGTGGAGCTACATCGGTGACATCGTATGCCGAGTTGAGGGTGCGAAGCAGAAGGTTCTCATGGATTTGGAGGCTACAGCAGATGCGATGGCCTCAGGGCTGGCAGAGCTGCGATTGCAGATTTCTTACAAGACGAAGCTGGTCGCCAGTTCTGCCGAGATTGGGATGGGGTTGCAGACGAGACTGCGGCGCAAGGGCATACCTGTCGAATGTGTTCGCGCTGCCGTCGACCTCGACTCTGATGCTGCAGCATTTCGTTTTCGCGCTTCGGTTTGGATGATGAAGCGTCGTGCCCGGGCTTGCAGGCGGGAGGGGGAAGTGATGGAGGTTCGCCGCCTTGGACGTCTGAGATTTGCGACGAAGAAGCATTTGAACACGGGTGTGCATCCGGCGTCCGTCTTTGGCCATCAGGTTATGGGAGCCCATCCTACCGCGCTGTTGGCCATGCGTCGCGATGCCGCTGCTGCAGCCGCTGGTTCTAAGAGAGGCAGGTGCTTGACGACAGCGCTCCAGGCGAACTGTGGCACGGCGGGCCCTGGAGTGAACCTCGGACGCCAGCTGCTTCGTGAATGGGTTGCTCTGCGGTTGTCTCAGCCGCGCCTTCGCCCCAGAATCAAGATGGCGTGGTCTGCGGTGCTGGCCAAGCTGAAGAAGGGCAAGGCCAGTCGATGGAATGATGCACGTGGGCCGATTGCCGCTTTGCTGGCGACCTTACTTCAGGCTGGGTGGGGTCCTCAGCCCCCCTTGGTTTGGTCGCGCCCGCTTCCCGATGGCACGATAGATGATTGGTTGTTCCCTAGCTTTGGCGATGAGCAGTTCGGCGCTGCGGTGAGGGCCCACTTCGATGACATGCTTGGCGCTTTCATGGGCGATTGTATCGCTCAGCAGTGGCAGGTGGCCTCTCAGCATGTGGCAGGCGAGGAATTCGTGCATGGCGCCGGCATGGCCACGGTGAGCATTGAGCTGAAGCGCTTTGCCAAGCGCATGCAGTTTGACGAGCGGCCCGCTGACCTTGCCGTCGTGGGCGGCGGCCAGTGGCCCGTGAGAGGCAGATTGCTGCAGGCTGCGCCTGCCCGCCGCTTTGCCCGCGCTGTAAAGGAAGGCCTAAGACTTTAGCGCATCGAATTTGGACGTGCCCTGCGAATTGCGGGCACGAGGACTTCACTAAGACGGATGGTTTGGTTTCCCAAACCAGCGCGAGCCTCGAGGCCCAGCCTGCGCCGCGGCTCCGCGGGTTGCCACCGAAGGGCCCTGCGGCGCCCAAGTTCGTCGAGACCCTTGGGGCGGCTCAGAGAGCCGTTCTCGGAGAGGGGGGCTGTCTGGGATCATTGTGTTGCTCCTGGGCCCCCCCTTCTGTGCATCTTCGGGGATGGCTCTGGAGGCGAACGCAGTTCGGACCTTAGGAGAAGAAGATGCGGGTTGGCTATTGTTGCGATGCGCCAGGACCTGGCAGGTCGCCCAGGCCCTGGCAGGTGGGAAGTAGACAGTGCCGCGCGCTGAGCTACAGGCCCTTTACTTAGCGCTCGAGGGCTCGACTGGTCCAGTTTGCTGTGTGACCGACTGCAAGAGTTGAGCTTCTGATTGGCACGGTGGTCGTGCCAAGTCTCCTCGGGGCCAGGATGGGGGCCGATGGGTCCGCGTTGGGCGCGCCCGTGAAACCCGCGGCCCTGGGGGGGGTCGGCTCTGTGGACCCCCTCCTACACAGAGGAAGAGCTACAGTCTATCAAGACGGAGCTCGAGTTGTTTATGAGCCTGGGCAGCGCCAGTGCCGACGCTTGGGTTGGCACCGCGGCCCCGTGGGCTTGGGGCCGGCGCGCGTCGCCCCCTGCCCCTCGCACGGGCCTCTGGGACACGACGGCGGCACTGGCGAGGCTCAGAGCCCGACGCGCGTTGCTGATAGCGCTCGAGGTTGAACCGTGGATCGGTGAGCGACATGCCAGCGCCAAGCAACCGCGTAAGCCTACCCGTTTGGATGTTTCCCTGAAGCCGAGCGCTGACGATTTCGCTCCGTTAGCTGGCCGCTGGAGGTGCAAGCAGTGTAGAGATATCATCCCGAGGAGCAAGCTGCTCAGAGTCGCCTCGACCCAATGTCGTGATCTGCCCCTCGCCCCGCCGCTGGACTCGGGGAGGGCGCTGGCGTTCCTTGCTGAGTATGGTGAGGGTTTCGAGGCGATCTCGGGAGAGGTGAGCGTTGGCGGCGTGGCTTTGCATCCCAGCCACCGCCTCGCGAAGATGAAGGCGCATGGACTGTTATTTTGTATGACTTGTGGCCGCACGGCCACTGCAGATGCCGTGCGCCTCGCGCGCGAGCGTCCCCCCCCCGCGCGCGCACAGGGGGGATAATTTGAGACGAATTCCGAAAGGGTTGTTTCCAAGCTATCGCGGTCCACCCGCGTCCGTGATGGCGGCTCAGGCAGAGGAGTCCGTGAGCCGCTCCCGCCCCGCCCGTGGTGCTCAGGTGGAGGGAGCGCCTGTGCTGGGGCCACGGGGGGTCGAGGCCGATCCTCTTGACGAGTACATGCTTGTGTCGTCGGCCCGCCACCCGAGAGAGACTGCGGCCGCGATGAGCGTGGACTGCGAAGCCCCGCGCTGCGCCGCCACCGCCGCCTCGCCTGCTGCCGCCGCCTTGATGGAAGTGGCTGCTCGGCTTCCAGAGTCGGGCTCGCGCGGCAGCCCCGGCGGTGGCGACCTTCAGCAGCGTGTTGCAGCAGTGGAGGATGAGGACGATAGTGATTGAAGGTTGGCCGCTTCACGGCGCTCAGCAGAATCCAACAGCGTCCTCCCCCTCCTCCTCCTCCTCCTCCCCCCTCCTCCTCCTCCTCCTCCTCCTCCTCCTCCTCTCCTCCTCGTCCCCATCCTCATGCTCCTCCTCCTCCCCCTCCTCCTCCTCCTCCTCCTCCTTTTCCTCCTCCTCCTCCTCCTCCTCCTCCCTCTCCTCCCCCTCCTCCTCCTCCCCTCCTCCTCCTCCTCCTCCTCCTCCTCCTCTTCCTCCTCCTCCTGACAGCCTGACAGCCTGAAGGCACGAATCTTTGTCGAACGCTACTCTTTTCCCCAGGGCTGGTCGGCCCTGGGGGTTAATCAAACGAGTGAACCAGGTGAGTGTCATGTCCGGTCACGAGGACAAAGCGACAGCAGACAGGAGAGGGAGGAAAGAGGAAGGACATGAGGACCAATAATCTCCAGAGGACGTGCGGCAGACGTGGGCAAAAGGTTTGCTGAGGAGAGGTGAGGGGCGGTGGTGGCGTTGGCGGTGTGGGCACAGGCGTGGCCAGGCCACACCCGCCAAGGTGGAAGGCACACGGCCTCTCCCCCTACCCCCGCAGTCCCACCGAGGTAACCCTGATCCGCCGAGGCAAATGTAAGGTTCCCGAGGTAGGGATTGGGGGCAGTCGTAGGGCTTCCACCGGGTGCGGGGAAAGTTTGTCCCTTCCGCGGCGTCGGCCAGGTGACAGTGGTGCTAGCAGCCGCCCTGGCCGCGCCAAGGCAGCCAGCGGCTCGTTGCTCTTCCACTCACACCCCAATGCCCTCCACGGTACGGGTGTGGCGGTGCCGTGGTGGTGGTGGTGGTGGCAGTGTAAGGGCAGGCGCGGCGGGCCGCACCAGCCAAGATGGAAGGCACAAAGGCCTCTTTCCCTACCCATAGGCCATAGGAAGCCCCAAGCGACGGCCCACGGTCTCGCCAAGGGAACACTCGCCCGCCGAGACAGGCACGAGTTCCCGAGGTAGGGACTGGGGGCCGCCGTGGGGTTTGCACCAGGTGCGTGGGAGGTTTGTGCATTCCGCGGCGGCGGCCAGCCGAGCGGCTTCAGTGCCAGTGGTCGGCCTGGCCAGAACCTCGGCAGCCGTTGGCACGTTGCCCGCCCCCCCCCCCCAATGTATAATATATGTATGTATATATATATATATATATATATGCACATCCATACATACATCCATGCATCCATCCATCCATACATACATAAATATATATATATACATGTCGCCCACCCACACCGCCCTCGTAGCGATGCCGTCCTCCAGCGGCAGGCAGAAAAATGTTGAGATAGGTTGGCGAGGGTAAACTAAGGTGCGAATGGTAGACTTGGCGGTGGAGCGGCAGGCCTAGCGGTAGAGTGGAAGATGGCGACGCTGCTGTAAGCGTTCTGCTGAGGCTTGGGTGGTCGCTTGGAAAAGGGTGAGGTGGGTACGGGCATGCTGGCCGTGGCCGTGGCCAGCGGCGCTCTTGGCCAACGCCATATCTGCCAGCGGCTGCGCTCCCTGTCCTTCCCCACCCCATGACTCCAGCCCACCCGTTCCACCGCCACACGGGGGGGAGGAGTAGGTTAGGTGAGTGAAAGGTGGGGGGAGCGGAGGCTGTAAGGAGGTGAGCCAGAAGGGAGGGAAGGGTGAGCAGGGGCCCACTCAGGACAAGTGGATAGGAGGCTCCCCGTGTTGCTACCTCCGAGGCCCCAGCTGGCAGCTGGTGATTAAGGCCCCCACCAAGGAGGTGCATGAGGGAGTTCTATCCACTAGTCTAGTGTTGCTTGCAGTCTCGCGGCAGGTTGGTTAATCAGCAAAAGTGGGTGAGAAAGCCACGGCGGGTGTCGGAGCCCTGTACTACCGTGGACACACTGCATAACATAACCTGTTGTTGTGGTTCTCGACTTAGTGCTGTGCTGTGTGATGGCCACGAGTACGCGTATAGAAAGGAGTGTGCCGTCGCCAGAGAGTGGTGGCCAGAAAGTCAGAGAAGGTAGGTTGTCGGTGCGGGCCAACAGTTGCTGCTGCTGGGTGTCCACTGAGTGCGGCTGCTTAGTACAAATAATGCCTAGAAGTGGATATGGGAATGAGCAGCTGGCCTTTGGTGGCGTCTGCTGTCGGTCTAGTGGAGCAAAACTGGTCAAACACGTGGGATGTGGATGACGCGCTGATGGCCATCGTGAGCGGCCTGTGCCTCGTGGTTGGGTGATCAGGGGGGAGTCTCCTGATTCACCAGGCTGGTCGACTGGTCGAGCTGGGATGCAACTGCGAATGCTGGCCACGGTTTCTATGCTGGTGCTGGTTCGAGCGGGATGGCTGCGTCCACGGTGTTGGCCCCGTCTGTAGGCTGGATCGTGGCGTTGCCCAGCTCCTCTTCCTCGAGGTCGGCTCCTCCTCCTCCTCCTCCTCCTCCTCCTCCTCCTCCTCCTCCTCCTCCCCCATCTCCCCCTCCTCCTCCTCCTCCTCCTCCCCCTGAGCCACTGTCTCATTGATGGTTTGAGAGTCCGACGGACGCGACCATCACACCCAGGGCCGGTCGGCCCTGGGGGGTGCTGAAACTAGGAGCATTGCGACTCCTGGGGGGGTCGCTCCAGGAGTCGGCTGGCTGTAGCATCAAAATACCCAAATACCGAAAGAAGAAGAATAATGATGATATCAATAGGGAGTGAACAATACACAAACCTCGAGGAAGGAGAAAGGGAAGGGGACACTGGTGGCGGTGTGGCGGTGAGAAGCATTGGCTGTGCGTCGGGGGTCCACGCTCGCCAGGGTGGAAGGCGCAAAGGCCTCCCCCCCTGCCCAGAGGAGCCCCCCCACGGGCGTCCCCCAGCCCAATGACGGGGTCCCTCACCCGCAATGCCTGGGTCCTCCTCCTCCTCCTCCTCCTCCTCCTCCTCCTCCTCCTCCTTCTCCCTGGAAGCGGGGGGCCACTGCAGGGGGGGGGGGGGGGCTGTGGGGCGCCCCGCCGTGAACCAGCCACGCGCAGAGAGGAGCAGGGGGGGGGGGGAGGGAAGGCTCCTTAGAAGGAGGCTGCCTCTCTGAAGGCGCGCGGGCCCTGCATCTGCAGATCAGGCGCGCGCCTTCGAGGGGGCGGGCTGCTTCTCAGAAGCCTGCCCCTCTCCCCCTGCCCCCCCGGCGCGCCGCCAACTCTGGGAGGATCCCGCGCCCGCGCCCGCCCCCGCGCATGCCGCGGCGCGGCCGGCGGGCCCCGACGGCGACTCGCAGAGGCCCGCCTGCCTCCTGGGGGCAGGCCTCGTGGGCCACGTGGTCACCACGGGCACAGACCTCGACCTGACCAGGCCGGGGGGGCCTCCCGCCGCCCGGCTGCCCGCAGAGCCTTGACCAGCAGATGCCCGGAGGCCAGCCCCTGCACCGCTAGGAGTGCCGCGGCCCTCCTGCCTCCGCGTCCTCCTCCGGCCCCCGTTGCCCAGCTGGCGGATTCCAGAGAGGGCCCCGCCTTCGAGGCTCGACCGAGTTGCCATCTCTTCCTCGGCGGAAGGCGGCGGAAGTAAGACGAGGCCGCCTCGGCCGGCGGAAGCGGGCGGAAGGCCGGCGGAAGCCGGCGCAAGTGGAAGATGCACCCCCAAGAGATGGCAGCCTTTTTGGGTTCAGGGTGCCAAGAATCGGCCAGCTGCCCTCCCCGTGGACCGTCTCCCGCGCTGCCCTCGTAGGGCGGGCCCGTCGGACCGACGGCGCGCGTTCCGCTCTGCCCTGCTTCTCCCCAGATCTCCGACGATGCGTGTTTTTCGGCCGGCGCATTTCCTCGATTTCGGCTTCTGGGGCCAGTGATCGGGCCCCTGTGCGACCCTAAATCCTAATCCCGGAACCCTAAACCCTAAACAACAAAAAAAACGAGAAACTACCCTCGGGGAAGCGGTCGGGACCTCCAGGGCCGCGAGATCGGTGGATGTCAGGGCAGTTGCCCTCCTCTCCCCCTTCCCAATCCCCTGTCCCCTCTCCCCCTTCCCAATCCCCCCATCCCCCATCCCCTCTCCCATCCCCTCTCCCCGTCTCCCGTTCCCTCTCCCCTCTCCCCTCTCCCCTCTCCTCCTCCCCCATCCCCTCTCCCTCTTCCCAATCCCCTTGGGACCCCGCTGAGCCTTACTGTGGTGTCGGGCCCGCGGCCAGCAACGACCGGAGGTCGTGCGTGGCAGCGACCGGAGGTCGTGCCGCGTGGTCGCTGGCGTCCAAGCCTCCAAGCTTCCGAGTCGAACGCAATGAGAGACCGATGGTAGAGGAGGAGTGTATACATGTTTACGATGGCACTCTCGATAAGAGTTGTGCCAACTTTCCCTGGCACACCTGTGCGCCAGATTTGCGTCGCCGCGACGAATAACTCCAGAGACTCGCGCCACTCCGCCAACCCCTGTTGAAGGTTTGCAAGTTTACCCGCTCCCCCGCCTCGCCACCCCCCGCGGGCTGACACTGGGGTCGGAGAGACAAGGACCGGTGGGAAGGGGAGGGAAACAGCCGAACGTCTCATACGCCTTGCCACCTCGATCCATCGAAGGGTTCGGCGGATTTGGCTGAGCATAGTGGCCGTCATTGGAGAGACGGGCCTGCAGTTCTTATTTCTCCTGCCTCTTGCAGCTTCTCTCTCTCTCTCCCTCCCTCGTCCCGCGATCCCTGGGTCCCACTTGGAAATCGCGCCCACTTCGCCCCTCACATGGGGAACAGAGCGGGTCCTCAAGTGTTCATACCCCAGAGGTGGCACCAGAGAGGGGCCACCTCAGGGCTGTGGTGCTACTCGGGCACCGGTGCAGGTGAGTCTCACGGCGCCGAGCTGGCGCCGTCCCTTTTGCAGCACCTTGCCTTTGCGTATCGAAGAAGAAAGGGCAGTGTAAACGTAGACTTTCGAAGGTCTGCGCTGATTTCTTGGATCTGCGCTGGACCTCCCTGGCAGCGTCTCCGGCGGCGCCCCTGGCGCGCGGAGCTCGCCAGGGAGTGGGGCCCAGCGCCCACCTACGAAATCCGCGCGGAGCTCCGAAAGTCCATGTTTATGCCTTTTTGTCGTTCCTCTCGCGTAGCCCCCTAGTCGCGGCGCCGGGCGTGTTAGCGACGGCGCCGCTTTCAGATTACGTCCCTGCTCTCCGCACTCCTCGCGGGGGCGTCAAAGAGGGTGTGTGTGTGTGTGTGTGCGGACATCAAGGCCGGGGCCATGATCTCCCCGGATTCCATGGCCTTCTCTCCCTACACTTTGGACTCCGGAACGGGTACGGAAAACGGTGGGCACGAGGCACAACAACACGTGTTGCCCAACACAGGCAGCGACTGCTGTTGGGCAGGTGGCCTTCTGTGTTAAATGAACGACGCCCGCGGCGGCACCGACAGCGAGTCATGTTCAGAGTGGGCAGGAACTGCTGTCGGTCCTTGTCCCCGTTCCTTCCGTACCCATCCCCTGGCCTCGTCCGCGCATATGCCTCGGGCCATGGTCTGCGAACCCCCCTCTTGGACGCCCCCCTCTTGGACTAGGTCACCCCCAGGGGCGCGAAGATGATCGCGCATCGCGGCTCGGGCTGGCAAGATGCCCTTCTCCAGGGGGGTGGCGCGGGGGCGCGAGGGCGCGAAGATAACCGCGCGTCGCGCAGCGCGGGGCGCGATGCGCGAAGTTGGGTGACCTAGTTGGACGCCCCCGATCCTCTGCGACGTCTCCTGTCGATGCTCCCCGGCCCAACGGCGGCCGGCAGCGGCCGCGGGGTGTCCGACCGCCCCGCGTGCAGAGGGCTCCTCGCTGGGAGACTGCGGGCTGATGTCGGCGTCACCCCAGCGTACCAATACTGTGTGTGCGTCGCCCTCCTAGGGGCGACGCGCACGCCAGGAAATCTTGTAGCATGAGCTCCGTGGCGGACGCTTTCTGGCCATACCGCCCGGGAGACGGTAAGCAACAAGATGCTACTATAAGGTCGGGTCGGACGCACGCCTCCAAGGAGGACACATAGCACTAGTACGTTATCATGCGTCCCATGGCTGTCGAAGGAGCAACAGCTGCATACAGGCATGTAGTTGAGTTTGATTAGCAGGTCGACCCAGCCAAATAAATGGTACCCTTGTGTCCTGTGTTTACCGACCCATGCCTTCTACCATTCCTATGGCAACGTTGCCCTCGGAAGTTTCTCGTGTCCTCTCGCGTGTCCTCTCCAATCACCCCCGACTGTAATCGGAGGTCCGCGCGGATTTCTCGGATCGGCGCTGGGGCCCCCTGGCGGCGCATCTGGCGCCGCCCCTGGCCCACGTGCCAGGGAGGGGGATCGCAGATCGCAGGAATCTGCGCGGACCTCCAAAAGTTCATGGCTATGCCGTTGTTTCTCCGTCTAGATGGGCGATGCTCTGGATGGGGACCACAGAGACTCAAGGAAGATGGGGGGGACGAGCGTGAGAAGAAGTTCAATACATGCAGCGCCATGGAGACGAGAAAATGGTAGTGATGAGGAGTAATAATAAGAGGAGGAGGAGGAGGAGGAGGAGGAGGAGGAGGAGGAGGAGGAGGCGGAGGCGGAGGAGGAGGAGGAGGAGGAGGAGGAGGAAGGAGGAGCAGGAGGAAGAAGAACATGTGAGGAGGATGTTACGAGGAGGGGGAGGAAGATGATGAGGAGGAGGAGGGGGAGGAAGAGGAAGAGGAGGAGGAAGAGGAAGAGGAGGAGGAAGAGGAAGAGGAGGAGGAAGAGGAGGATAGGGAGGTGTATAGGGAGGAGGATCGGGAGGATGAGGAGGAGAAGGAGGACGTTTTGAGAAAGAGGAGGAGGATGTATGATGGGAAGCAGGAGAGGAGGGAAACTGAGGACGAGTGACCGTTTTCCAGACACTTCTGCAACGCTGGGAGCCGCAAGCCAGCCTACGCTTGTCAGCCTCGCCAGTACAGTACTGTAGACTTAGACAAACTGGCCTTTCCGCCGGCTGGCCAGCGGTTGTCGCACAGGAGTTGCTCTCGCACGGGTGCGGCATCCTGGTCAAAATGTCATCCCTCTTCTTCGTGCTTTGCCGCCGCCGCTCCTTCTCCTCCTCTTCCTCCTCGTCGACCCCTTCTCTTTGTCTCCTAATCCTCCTCCTTCCTCCTCCTCCTCTTCCTCGGCTACTCCTCCTCTTCCCCCTCCTCCTCTTCTTCCTCCTCCTCCCTCCTCCTCCTCCTCCTCCTCCTCCTCCTCCTCCTCCTCCTCCTCCTCCTCCTCTTTCTCAACTCCTCGTCGATTCCTCCTCGACTCATCCTCAATTCCTCCTCCTCCTTCCCATCCTCCTCATCCTCCTCCCCCTTTGCTCCAATATCATCCTTCTTTGCTTCCTGTCCTCGTCCGTCTCTGCGCCCCTCCACCGCGCCCCCCTCCTCCACCTCCTCTTCTCTTCTCCTCCTCTCCTCCTCTCCTCCTCCCCTCGTCTTCTCCTTTTGACCCTCCTAAAGAACTCTTCCCTGTCGCACCACCAGACGTGTCGGTAGGCGGGCCGGGCGTTTCGCTTGAGACTTCTTCACCAGTTATGATCTTGAAGCTTGAAATTTGCAGCTCTTTCACTGGTCAAGGGCGAGTCGTTGTCAAAATGCGGCTCTCGCCTTAGCGCCACGCACGTGTGTCCAAAAAACGTTGCAGCAGTTTCAAGGATGCAGGGCAGGTGGTTTTCGACATGTGGCTCTCATCCGAATGCTTCGCACATACGTTTGGAAAGCTCGCGACAGTTTCACTGACGGAGGGCGGGTCGTTTTCAAAAGGTGGCGCTCGCCTTAGCGCCGCGCATATTCCTTGGAAGTCCCAGGAATGGTGCTCTGGCACGGTGTAGGACTGTCAGGACGCAACCGTCACGTTGATTTGCGGCGTTCAATTCCCAGGAGTTGTGCTTCGGCACGATTGGAGATCCTCGTGGCTTTTCACAATGGGGCACTCCCCGCAATGAAAATCAACTCCTGTAGGGACCGGTGAAGAGGGAACTCGGAGGTAGGATTCATTGCAACATCGTCCTCCTCGTCCTCGTCGTCTTCGTCCTCCTCCTCGTTCTCGTTCTCCTCCTCGTCCTCGTCTTCCTCCTCCTCGTCCTCCTCGTCCTCCTCGTCCTCCTCGTCCTCCTCCTCGTTCTCCTCGTCCTCTTCCTCGCCCTCCTCCTCCTGCCGCACCTGCCGCCGCCGCTCCTCCCGGCGACCTCCCCGCCCCTTTGCACCCAGCCCTTGGCTCGGGGCTCCCCCGCTGATCCGATGGGCGGCGAGGGAGGGCGGCGCAGTACAGTGGAGGCTCCTGCCAAGAACCACCCCGCGCTCGCAGCTTCTCGCTTCGCCCTCCCAGGTTGTATAGTGGGGGCCCATGCCCTCCTCCTCCTCCTCCTCCTTCCCTTTCTCCTCTGCTCCTCCTCTTCCTCCTCCTCCTCCTCCGGCTGTGCCATGTCTGTCTCGAAGAAGAAAGAAACCCTACACAGTGGATGGCCATGCCAAGGAACACACTGCTTGCCTCCAGGGTGCCCTGGGTTCCTTGGGTTTCGATGGTTCTGCGATGGACAGCGAAACGTTCCCACACCAAAGATCAACGCACGTCCTGGGGTCTCAGGGTTGGGTTTCTTCTGGAAGGTTTCTTGTGGTCGGGCCCCCACGGTACAGAACGTGCGAACAACGGGTCGAGAGCACGCCAAGGCAATCAGGCATGCACGCACGACTGCGCACAGCAGGAGGTGCGAGGGCACGGACAAGGCAGTTGGTGATGCGGGCGCAGGAAGAGCCGCCACCTGGGGGGGCCCACCACGCCGGGCGCCCAGGATGGCACCAGTCGAGGGGTGCCTGACGTCCGCGAGACCACTTGAGGGGGACGCCGGTGCCTCCTGGAAATCGAGGTTCCAGAGGAGGAGGAGGAGGAGGAGGAGCAGGAGGAGGAGGAGGAGGATGAGGAGGCAGGATTGAAGCTCGAGGAGGTTTCTGGACGTTTGGGGTCGTCTTGGGAGGCTCTGCACGGCTCGCTCCGCTCCGTGTGAGCCGCTTAGTCGTTGTGGCTCAAGCTCGTCTCGGTGGCATCGACGGGAGGAGCAGGTGGAGTAGGTTGAGGAGGAGGAGGAAGGAGGAAGGAGGAAGAAGGAGGGGGAGGGGGAGGAGAGGAGGAAGGGGAGGGGGAGGTGGAGGAGGAGGAGGAGGACGACGAAGAAGAGGAGGAGGAGGATTGGGTTCGGAGGACCGTGGAGACCTAGTCAAGCCAGGGCACTGGGAACCAGTTCAGAGCAGCGGGAAGGGGACTCCGCGCTTTGGGGGGAGCCCCCTCGACATTCGACTGAGCACCTCTGCCCCCGCCTTGGTAGGGCGACGCGGACATTCCTTGCTCAAGTCGCGCACGTGCACCGTGCCGAAACGCCCGCAGTGCTGACAAAACAAATCACCACGAAGGACAGACAACGTGTGTGTACTGTGCACATGTGGGTACAGAACGTGATTCATTGGCTCATCCTGGGCCAGGATCCTCGCTCCACAACAGGTGCCTGGCCAACAGCGCAAGAGGGTCCTCCCATGGGAAACTTGCGCTCGCAAATGTGACAGCTAAACAAACTTCCTCTCTTCCGAGGCTCGTGCGCAGCGGCTCTCTCAATCGCTGCTGACGAGTGGCGAGCGAGGAGAGGGAGCGAGGGCGGGGCGGCGGCCTGGAGGAGGAGGAGGGGGGGCGGAGGGTGTTTGCCTTGTGCTGTGCGACGAGACGTAGGAGGCACGGCCCACGTATTAGCGTCTCTGGGAGGCGGGCGAGCTCTGCCTCGTCCGCCCCGCAACCCAGCTGGCGCTCCGCTGAACGTTCCGACCAACGGTCGTCGAAGAAGAAAACGACACATCACAATAATACGAACAAGACACATAATAACAATAATGATAAGCAGCGGCATAAGCATCCAGTATCGAAGGTCCGAGTGGATTTCTTGGATCTGCGCTGGGCCCCCGTGGCGGCGCCTCTGGCGCCGGCCCTGGCGCGCTCCGCGAGCTAGGGATGGGGGTCGAGCGCCGATCCAAGACATGTGCGCGGACCTCCTAAAGTCTATGTTTCTGTTGTCTTTTGTTCCTCCGGGTCGCTCGCGCCCGACGTTAGTAGGTTGCGACGCTCACTTCGGGGATGGAGAAAGAAGAAGGAGGCTCTGAATGCCCCGGCCCTCCTGCACCATTGCTACCTCGCCAGACCTGTTGTATGCTTGTCGATTGCCGTTGGCCCCCGATTCGTGCCGCGCCTCTCCTCCTCTTCCTCCTCCTGCTCCTCCTCCTCCTCCTTCTTCGCCGTTTCCCTCCTCCCCCTCGTCTTCCTCCTCGTCGTCCTCCTCCTCCTCCTCCTCCTCAGCTGCCACTCCGTAGCAGACAACCCGTCTCAGCCCCCAGGCACTTTCGAGTACTTTGGACATGTGGTCCAGGCCTTGGGTGGTTCCTCCGTTGCCGCCGATGTGTCGCTAGTGCTGCCATCGAGGCGCCTCGCTGGCGCTCTCTGCTTCGGCCCTGCCGAGAGACCGCCACCGCGGGAGAGGCTTCGTTTCGCGACGAGTTCCTGGCAGGGCGGGTGCCGCGGGCATAAGCAGCCACTGCCTGCCGTGGCGCCGGGCGCAGCCGCAGGTTGAGGGTGTCTAGGGCCGCGGCTCTCCTCCGTACGCTTCACGGGAGTTGAGGCGCCGTTCCTCCCCTGTGCAGCCGAGCTGCACACGTCCTCTCGGCTAGATTTCGGCCTCGGCTCTGATGCTAGACCGTGGTCGTCCCTCGTCCCTCCTCCTCCTCCTCGTCGTCCTCCTCCTCCTCCTCCACTTCCTCCTGTTCCTCTGCCCCCTCGTCGTCGTCGTCCTCCTCATCGTCCTGCTCAACTCCTTTTCCTTATAGGTAACCTTAGATAACTCCTCCCTGTCGCACCCAGAGGCTGGTCGAAAGGGCGGGCCAGGCGTTTCGCCTGAGGCTTTCTCACAATCTATGATGATCCTGAAGCCTGACATTTGCAATCGCTTCACGGATGGAGGGCGGTCCGCTTTCAGAACGCGGTTCTCGCCTGAAGCCGCAGACATTCGTCTGACACGTTTGCAAGAGTTTCTCGGATTGATGGCGCTTCGTTTTCAACATGTGGCTCTCGCTTCAGCGCCGTGCCCATTCTGAAAACAAGAAGGGCAAGATCTTCACGGATTGAGGGCGGTCCGTTTTCAAAACGTGGTTTTCGCTTTAGCGCCGTGCACACTATCTTTCGAACGTTTGCAAGAGCTTCACGGACAGAGCGCCGTTCTCTTTCAACAGATGGTTCTCGCCTTAGCGCCGCGCACATTCGTCTTAAGAGTTTGCACCAGTTTCACGGATTCTCATGTTTAACGTCCCAGAAATGGCGTTTTGGCAAGATGTCGGAATGTGAGGGCGCAGTAGTGACGTTGATTCGCAGTGTTGAAGTTCCAGGAATGATGTTGTGGTACGATTCAAGTCAAGACGCACCAGTAACGGTGATTCGCGATGTAGAAGTCCCAGAACTCGCTGGCACAAGTCCGGATTTTCAAGCAGTTGTCTTCCAACGGTGTATTTCCCTAAGCGAGGTTGATTCCGTGGAGGAGCCTATGAAGAGTCGTGGGCTTCCACTGGTCCTCCTCCTCCTTCTCCTCCTCCTCCTCCTCCTTCTCCTCCTCCTCCGCCTCTTTCTGCCGCAGGCGGAGGGATCTCCATCCTGGGAGAACGTGCAGAAGCAGGCCGAGCAGCTCCGAGACCGGTACGCTGCAGCGGCGGCGGCCCAGGAGGGGCGCGGGCGGGAGGACGCCGCAGCAGAAGCGGTCCAGGAGGACAAGAGGACGAGGGGACGGCGGGAGGGGGAGGGGGAGAGGGGGAGGACTGCAGAGGACGATGGCGAGGAAGGCGGGGGGGGGGGGGGGGGGGGGCAAGGGGGCGGGGGAGAGGGAGGAGGATGGCGGAGGAGCATGGCGGTCCAGGAGGGCGAGAGGAGGAGGGAACGGCGTGAGTGAGAGGAGTCCGGGTTCAGTCGAACTCGTTTTTCGTTTTTTCTGTTTGCCTCTGTCTTGGGAATGTTGCCTGGGGCTTTGATCCCTGAGCTTCTCCGGGCCCCTGCAGGCCTCCCCGGCGACCATCGGGACCAAATGGGCTCGGCGCCCGCGCAAGGAGGGGGAGGAGGGGGGAGGATTGCAGAGGAGGATGGCGAGGGAGGCGGCAGGGGGAGGGAGGAGGGGGAATGGGAGACGGAGAATGATGGACGAGGAGCATGGCAGAGGAGACGCAGGGGGGACGGGAGAGAGGGAGAGGAAAAGGGGGAGGGGGAGTGCTAAAGAACTCATGGAGGAGCAGGAGGAGGAGTAAGAGAAGGAGGAAGAGGAAGGTGAGGAAAAGGCTAGTGATGGTGATAAGGGGGAAAGGGGTGGTGGTGAGGTAAGTCTGATTAGTAGTAGTGGTGCCAGTCGTACTCGTTGTAGCATTGGTAGTCGTAGTCGTAGTCGTAGTTGTAAGATTCGTATCATTATTCCCAACCCTCCTGCGTTGGGTTCTCGTTTTGAATAGAGCAGCTGCGGTCGCGACTCCTCTCATCTCCTCTCCCGCCCCCTCCTCCTTTCCTCTTCCCCCCTGCTTCCTACCTCGCTCGCTCCTGCGTGCCAGCTTGTCTCCTACCTCACCATCCCTGCGGGGCTGCGATCTGCGAAAATGTCGCCACTTTCGAGGGCTGCTGGGGGGCCCAGCGGAGTGACGTCATACGCAGATTCAGATTAGACCTCGCCATCCCTGGGAGGCTGCGATCTGCGAAACGGTCGCCACTTTCGAGGGCTGCTGGGGGGCCCAGCAGAGTGGGGTCATACGCAGATTCAGATTAAACCTCGCCATCCCTGGGAGGCTGCGATCTGCGAAACGGTCGCCACTTTCGAGGGCTGCTGGGGGGCCCAGCGGTGTGAGGTCACACGCAGATTCAGATTAGACCTCGCCATCCCTGGGG